ACCTATCGAATCGCGTGGCGAAACAAATATCAGACTGGGTTCCAACAAACAGCAAAACGAATCGTTAAAATACCTCCAAGTCGATGGTAGGATCAACTGATGAAATTTTTTAGTGCAACATGGATAATATCGCAGATAGTAGAATTTTGTAACAAAATCTTTGAGACACACTCATTCTTCAGTAGATCGAAAAAACGAATGATGATTTTTCTGTCATACCTTACAACAGAATATGGAATTTATTGCGATTGCAATAATTTTCTCAGAATAGAATTTTCATGCACCAATCCGTAACAGCTGACCGAAGACATCAGATTAATGTGGCAAATTCGCTGATGAACACTGATTTTTGTTAAACTTCCAGTGTGAATGAAGACTATTCAAAAATCCAATAAACCACTTATCAACGAACCACTTATTAAGAGAATTTAAATGATAATACGCTTTTACTGTTAATCTTGTTCTCTCCAGCGTATGCATTATATGTGCTTACTTTGATTGCACTGATTAGATATGCAGTACATATATTCGCAGAAAAACGGATATGCATGCACGATTGATCACCTACATAGCTTTCTGAATCCGGGAATCTGTGAATTTGACATATGCGCACACAGAGAATGAAGTAAAACGTATCTTGTAACATCGTCTAAAATTCATTGCGATTTAGTGCGGAGATTGAAGCAGGAAATCTTGAAAACACAAAGTAGATTTGATTCAGTGGTTTAAGGTACAAAGACGACTCGGAAATATTAATTGATGCCGGTGTCTCAGACACGCCATAGCGTTCAATAGCAATGCATGAAATGAACAGAAATCGAATTCAGGCGCTACGGACATAGATCATAATCATTGGTTTAACATCGTCAATGTCTCCCTGATTGATAAAGACGAAGAAAGAATTAAAATTTTAATTAATGAATCATTGCATATGTATAATGAAGAAACGGGAGTATGTAGCGGCTGTGGTGCATCCTTTATCATATATCCAAGACTGGGTTTAATCTAAACTATTTTGTTCATGTTCATCTTAGGGGCTGTAAAGTGTATACTCTAATGTGCTATTTATTCCATTATTTCAAACCGGAGCATTTACCATAGCACTTGAACTCAATCTTTGTTCATTTCATTCTCTGCTTTGTTTTTGTGCCTCAGACAATGAATTAGAATACCTTGTAAAGTCTTATGCTTACATTCGGCTTTCATCTGACTTTATCACCCATTGAAATTTTAACTGCCTTCGACGAATAATTCTCACATTGTGAGTCTATTAATTGTGCAACACAAGATGCATGCAAGCAAAAGCGTAAAATGTGTGCTGAAGTAGAGAACCTCATGGTTCATAATAGACCTTGAGAATGACTCGGACTCGACCTAAGAGCGGGAAAATCGACTGTTCATCATTTGAACAGGACACACTGAGATATGTGAACTGGGCATCGTCTGAAACCGCCAGGTATTTTCTGCGGTAATGCTACCTGCCGACTTAACGGTCGCACAATTAACAGCG